CAGCCATAACCTCTCACTCAAGGGGCGGGACTCCGGAAGGCAGGGGTTACTAAAGTCCAGGCTTGTCTGTCCCCGCCCCCGCACCCCCCCCCAGGATTTTGTGCCCACAGCCACCTGGAGACTACCAACAGCTGCTGACCATCGGCTTCGAGGAGCCGTCACACATACTGGCCACCGACCTGCTGGTGCAGATCCTCACAGGCCAAGCAGGCCCGGCCCGGCCCCCGAGCACAGCCGGGCCCGCAGCGTGGGCAGCGCAGGGGTCTTGAACCTGGGGAAGCGGGTAGAAGCTGGACCTTGATAGTTCCAAACTCCAGCAAAGAGGCTCGCTCGTTCTCCAAGTGTACCCCGGCCTCGCCTTCCAAAGAGCCAGGCTGAATTGATCTGTCCGCACAGAGTTCAGCTCGGCCGTGGGACCTTGAGCGGGAACACACCAGTTTTGTGTTAAATAAAAGAGGTCACAGGCTTAGCGTCTGCACACAGCGCCGCGCCCCTCCCCTTGGGGCGGGAGGTCCCCGCCCACCCGCTCAGCCTTCTGGGAGGTGTAGTTTCTGGAAACAGTCCACCCCTAAGTAGGCGAGAGCGCTACGCATTCACAGATGCGCATATAAAGCAAAAAGGGAAGTAGCGGATCCTGTCAACAATTCAGGAAACCTCAGATTTCGGGTAGCAAGAAAATTCGACGCCTCCTGAAGGAAAGGATTTAGAGCCATACTCCTTTTTTTGACCCGGAAGTTGTTTTCTAATGTAAAAAACTACACTACCCGACGTGCCCCCGGAAAATGTTCGCGATCAGATTCCGAAAGGTGGGGTCAGACTTTTTTTCCTCTTCCAGCTTTTGATACTTTGGATCCGACCAGGTGGCTGTCCTTCTTGGGGTATCTGGGGCGCGAGCCGGGTGGGAGAGTTGTAAGGAACTCCAGCTTGGGGTCAATCTCTCCTCTCCCCAACCTTGGACTAGAGAGAAGACCCAAGATAACACAGGTGAAAAAGCTCCCGCGGGCTAGTGGCGAAGCTTGGCCCCGAAGCAGGTCCGTCTGATCTCAGGTGGCCCCTTGCAAGGGGAAGGATGCCCTTCCTTACGTGGGAGTCAATCAAAAGGAACTCGCCCCGTGAGTCTTCCCATGGTTTTGAGAATCTTTACCTCTGGCTTGGCGCCTGTGGCTCAAATGGCTAAGGCGCCAGGCACATACACGTAAGGTGGCAGGTTCGAATCCAGCCCGG